TATTTCCGAGATATCTGGTGTGTGATTTCCAGTTTCCTCAGTGCTAGTGTCTTCTGCATTTGTACTGGGTGGACTTGGGGCCTGAGACTGCATTTTGTTTCTTCTCTTTGTCATTTTGTATACCACTGTCTTCTAGGTGGGTGTTATTTGGATCTGCTGCTGTGCTCCACTTCTTTCTGCTGCAGGCATTAGAGATGAACCCTTTGTGTCACTCTGGCAAGATGTTCTGCTCCTGAATCAGCTGGGTGGGTCTTGCCTCTAGCCTCTTTGCAGGGAGTTCTGCTGAAGGGTTCCGTGCTGGGCCTGCACTCTGGGTCGAATGAGGATCCATGGGCCCGGGGTCGTCTCACTCACTCTCTGGGCCTGCGCTCTGAGACTATTCCGGATCCCGCAGGCCCTCGGTCGTCTCACTCACTCGATGGGCCTGCGCTCTGGGTCCGTTAAGGATCCTGTGGCCCTCTGTCGTCTCACTCACTCGCTGGGCCTGTGCTCCGAGTCTGTTCAGGATCTGGAGGGCCCTTGTCTCACTCCTGTAACACTGTTTCTTTTCTTTGCCTCTAACAGCAATCCTCCTGGCTCAGCCTCCTGAGTGCTGGGATTACAGGCATCTACCACACCCAGCTGTATTTTCTCCTATTAATGTAGATTCTGACTGCATTTCCTGTATATTTTAACTAATATATACATAATATATATATTTATTCAGAGCTTATATTAGAGAAATTTATGAAATACAGCATCCAAGTTTCACAACCCTACTCTCAAGATAACCACTATGATTCTAGGCATTTTTTTTTCTGCAACTGGCTACATATACATGTCTGCCACCATCTCATTTTGCCAATTTCTTAATAAATAAAAGAGTATTTGCCTTTATAGGACAAATGAAACTAATGAAATTTGAAAAAGGAAAAACTTAAGATGCAAAGCAGCACTTGCCATCCTTATTGTTCCTAACTCTCCACACTTCAAAAAATTCTTCTAAGGGAAATAAAAATGGTAGTTTATGTTCACATCTTCATCAATAAAAGCTGGCCAGGGCACACATATTATTTGTGAGACATAAATATTGCCTGCCTAATAGCCTGACATATTTAAGCAATCAGTAAAATTTCTACTTGAATTAAAATGATATTCGTATCTCAAAACCCCACAATCATTAATAGTGACAAGCAAAATAAGTAAGTTATTCTGATAATTTAAAGGCATTTATTATGCTCTTTTTTTATTTCTGGCCTTTTGGGACATGGTCTCACTATGTAGCTTACGCTGGCCTTGGATTCACTATGTAGCCTAAGCTGGGTTCAAACTCATAGCAATCCTCCTGTCTCTGCCACTCAAGTGGCATGTGCCACTATAATGTATTAAAAGGTAATAAAGGGCTGGAGATGCACCTTTGGGGTTCAGTGCTTGCCTAGAATGCACAGGCCCTTCTTATAATTCCCAGTAACACACACATACACACAAAAGGTTAAGAGAAACATTTCTATTTTCATAAAATAAAAGCCAAATTACCAAATTACAGCTGAATCCAAACTTTTGTTTTTAAACAACAAAATCAGTTCAGGTCTCTGTCTGAACACATCTCAGTCTTTCCCACAACATGCTCTTATGAATCCTTGAAATAGTCAAATTAAGATACTGAATAGAGATAGTTTTTCATGTTTGTTTGTTATAAGTCCTAAGCATCCAATATCTAATATTTTCACTTCTGAGTAAGAGAAAAAGCATTTTGATCCATCAATTCACCCACTCACTCCTGAAGGACATTAACCAACTCTGCTATTACAAAGACGTGAGTGTCATCAATATCTTGAATGATGAATTTTTTTCCTAGGGCATTAGATTCATCCAAGTACAGCAGAAACTGTTTCATGGCAGGATCACTGTAGAGTTAAACACAAAATTACAAGACATCTTGGGGTTAAACCATACCACAAAGACTTAGGTAGTTATGTTTGAGAATGCACAATTCTTAAGATAGTTTTTAAAGTTCTGAACTATTACTCAATTCATCATTTCCTTTCTGCTTCAAGTGGTAATGATCTACACATGATTTCACTTTAGGACTAGGAATGCAAATTTCAGAGAAAGAGGCCAATGGTACAATTTCTCTCCCTCTCCCTCTCCCTCCCTCTCCCCTCCCCTGCCCTCCCTTTCCTTTCCTTTCTCTTCTCCTTTCCTCTCCTTTCCTTTCCTTTCTTTTTTTTTTTTTTTTAAGTGTATTTGGTATAGGTCTTAGTATGCAGCTCGGACTTGTATTGATCCTGTCTCAGCCTTCCCAGTGCTGGGATTACAAGTGTGCGCCACCACACCCAGACTCAGTGGCCGGCTCAGTGTGCCCAGAGGGTGGGGCCACTGTAGCATGCTCTGCACTTGCCTAAGCAGGTGCTCAGTCCACTAAACTATTTTGCCAGCCCAATGGTATGATTTCTAAAGAACAATGTGTCACTACCAAGTTAAAAAGAAGGGTCAAAGCTGTGTAGTAATAGGGCTAAGAGGGCCAGGGATATAGCTTAGAATAAGCACTTACCTGCCAAGTACAAGCCTAAGCTCAGTTCCTGGTCAAAAAAAAGGTCTAGAATCACAGCACCTTTAACTGATTTAAAAATAAATTTCCTAATAAATTTTCTCATCTATCTATGACCATTACATTTAAGAAACCAACAGCTGCTCATTATTTCGTCTATAACAAATCAACTTACAAAACCAGTAAAATAATGCTCTGATAAGGCAGGGTATATAGAAAGAGTTAGATCAAGATTCAGCTCCAGAGGGCTGGCCAGATAGCTCAGTGGATTAAAGCACCTGCTCAGGCAGGCTCAGGGACTGGGGTTTGATCCCTGGTGTGCCATGCCGGCCCCATCCCTGGAGCACACTGAGATAGTGATTGAGACTGGATGTGGTGGCACATGCCTATAATCGCAACACTTGGGAAGCTGAAAACAGGAGGATCACCTTGAGTCCGATCTGTGTAGTGAGACCCTGTACTAAATTCACTAAAAAAAAGATTCAGCTCCAGCTTCATCACTCATTTATGTGACCTTGAATATGTATATAACTTTCCTTTGATACTAGTGAACGATGATTATATATAAATATAGTCATGAAAATTAAAGGAGCTAAATGTCACTGACAGTGTTTGGCTTGCATGATGTATTATTTTCCTTTTAAAATTCAGAGCCCATTAGTCTTTATTTATATTTATTTTTACTTTTTTGGCAGAACCGGGGATTGAACTCAGGCCCTTGCACTTGCCAGGGAAGCGCTTATTCCACTGAGCCATCTCCCCAGCCCCAGAGCCCATTAGTCTTAAGTATCCTTTGGAATCTTTTAACATGCTCACTGCTGTCTAGCTGTTGGATAGTTGGATACACCAGAGTACATACATGACTGTCCCATTGGCTTTTTATTAATTTTATTAGTAAAAAGATACATAAAGTGATTAAATTTGTATCACCAATGGTTCAAGTTGGCAGGAATGTGTTAAAAGAAATTCTAATAAAACCCTTTCAGAATATTAAATTAAAAGAAGAGCTCCAATTCCACTCTCATACTCGTGAGTTGTATTTTGTAATGAATAGTCATAAAAGAAAGAATACAATTTTTGGTGGGCATTATAGACTTATAAGAATGTGACCTATTATTTGCTTGTTTTGAACAAATGCTATTCAGAAAGATAGGGGATCAATTGTGTCATATGCTGCTACTGGGAAGATAAGTACCAAAATGACCACCAGATTCACAAAGTTACTGAGCTTGATCTGAATAATTTGGGTGAGCTGTGAGAGAGAAAGCTTGCCTAAAGCGAGTCTCACAATTGGACAGCAGTTAGAGAAAGTGAATAGAAAAAGGCCTTTTGAGATATTTCACTACAGGCAGAAAATCGTGGAGATAACAAAGAAATGTGGGGATCAGAAAAGCTGGGAGGATCACCAGGTTGTAGGTCTGGTACAGCTGAAAAAATAGAGCGTACTAGAGGGAACTGAGTTGGAAAGAGGAGGCAGCACTCAGAGTCAGTTCTTGAAAATGAGATTTGAGATTCGAGGAGATTCTTGTTTTGCAAAGGACAGGTCTAGGTATGAGTATGTAAGTAGCTGGGCATAGTGTAGGACAAACTCATTGGCACACAGGGACCGGACAGGATGGGGTGAAAGACTGTCCACACAGACACCAAAATCACTAAGGATGTTAGAGGAGCTACTAAACTGTAATAGGTAGGCTTCAAAGAAAAATGTTCAGCAAAGGTTTGTAGATGATTATAAAGAGGAGAGCTTGCTAGTAGTATAGTGTGACACCTGAGATTCATAATTGGGGATTTCTGTGGGTGAGTGAGAATTTCTCAAAGTGTGAATTAAGAGCAAGACATGTGAGTAGGGAAAAAAGGGAGAATGTTCAGAGAAGAGGCTGAAGGTATAGTGGTCCTGCTGCTGTTATATGTGTTTGGGAGGCATGTGGGAAGGATTTTGTCAGGAGGGGTAGGAGATAAAATGTTAAAAGCAGATGAATAGAGACATAAGTTAATGAGAGTCCAAAGGATGAGGGAGGGCTTTAGAGTCTGTGGCTTTTGGGAGGAGTTGACAAATAGGAAAGGTAAGCAAAAAGTGCATAAGGACAATGAGAGTCTCAAAGCAGAAAGAGCTGGTGATGGATGGAATCTTTTATAAAGACAGATTTAAACAGAGACACAAAATATTAAATCTCACATTTTCAGCAATTCTCTAATTTTGACAATTATAAACAATAAAAAATAAATGTCTGTAAATAAACTATACATTAAGAAATCTCAATGAGCTAAATAATTACTTACAAACAGCTTTAAAAGGAATTCTAGAAGGAAACCTGGGTTTATGAAGCCAATTTAATAGGGCACTTTCAGATTCTATTACAGAAAGGATAACAAGGGGAGCAGTTAGGAGGAAACCAGTTTCATTACACTCAGGTTCTCTGAAACCTTTTCCTTGACTATATGGAAGTGGGGTTAGGGTAAGGACTATAACAGCAATTTTTAAGAGTAGGGAGGACAAGGGACATAAAACCCCTCAGTTTAGTGCTCTATAACTGAACCGCTTTGTCCAATCCCTGCAAACAGGAGACAAGGGAGGAATTAAGCAGTGCCACTGGTGCCACTTTACCCTCTAGGTCCTTGACTATCTCAGACCCAGAAGATCCTCAATATAGTTATGAAAATCACACTTTCTTGGACAAACACACTTTACACAATACTATGAATAGTTGTCCTGTAAAATAAAACTTCAGTTCATAGTAGTAAAGACAAATAGGACATTATAAAATTGATGTTTAAATGTGATACATATATTGTTTGAGGGCAAGTGCATCACAGATGATACCAATTTACTCTGAATAACAAGCTGTTGGGCTGGGGAGATAGCTCAAGGGCATAAACAACTGCCTAGCAAGCCCAAGGTCCTGAGTTCAATTCTCAGTACAGGAAAAAACAACAACAACAACAAAAGCCCCATAAAGAAACAAGCTGCTAGCAAGCGGTATTAAAGGCAGCAATGGTTAAATGTTTTTGAAGTGGAACATCTACAAAAATTTTCTAAATGGAGTAAGTTCATACTATTTCTAAATGGAGTAAAACTATTATTTTACAAAGTAAAACCTAAATCACCACTTTTGTGGTGAATCATTTCATCACTGATTTCAAATATTTTGTAATGTGTACATTATTCTTCTATTTTAGTTATCTCTTACAACACATTCATTTCAAATTACTTAATACTTTTCTTTTAACTGCCTTTAAATCAACTACTTAACTTCATATAGTTTCTGGTACCCGCAAATGAACACAGGACCTTGAGCTTGCCAGGCAGGTACTGTGCCGCTGAGCTGTATCTCTGGCCCTTAACTTCATATAGTGCTTAGCCTGGTCTACTGGGGCTGAGTGCAGGAACTTGATTTTAAAAATGGCCTCCTGGGGGGCTAGGGAAATGGCTCAGTGCAGTAAGTGCTTGGCTGGCAAGCGCAAAGGCCTGAATTCAATCCCAGTTTCACCAAAAAAAAAAAAAAAAAAAAAGCCTCCTGTAAATTTTATTTAATATTCTTATCCATTCTTAATTCTCACTGTGGGAGATAGAAAAACTCTAGTGAAACATTAATAACCTAGTATTCAATTCAATTAAAATTCAGTCAGTACTTATAAAGTGGGATGTGCATCTGTATATGTGTTTATCTGATCTGGCACTATTTGGAATGCATGGGAAACATCAATAAACAGCCCTCCTAAGAAGCAAAGGTGGACAAGACTTAAAAATACCATCAAAGAGAACAGTAACTGGGTGTTGTGGTACCCACCTATAATCCCAGCACTCTGGAAGGCTGAGCCAGGAGGATTACAACTGCAAGCCCAGCCTGAACTATTTAGAGATTTAGGGAGATTTTTGTCTCAAAAAAATTTTAAATAGGGCTGGGGACAGAGCTCAGTGTTAAGGCCCTGAGTTCAATCCTCAGTATAGTGGGAGGGGAGAGTTAAAGGGAGGGAAAGGGAAGGGGAAACAATAGTTAAGAGTGGTTTTGTCTGAGTTCTTATTTACTTTTTATATATAAAATAGTTCTAGAAGGATCAGGCTAGACAAATATATATTTTCCATATTCTTTGCTACTGTGCTGTAAATAGCTTTCAATTTGTACCTCTGTAGCAAATCTTCTCTCAAGTGCTTGCCAAACCAACTCTGATAACTGCACACCAGAGGTCTGCGTTAACACTGGGAATTGGACTCAGACACATGTTGGGCATATGCTGCTTGCTTCAGTAACTGCAGTGGTTGGCTAGATTTGGGGAAATGCTGGCTGTGAACCTGGCAGTTGACGGTGAATCCCAAAGAGAAGTTTTTACTAGCTTTGTTTTTGACATAAAATTATAAATTTATAAAATTTTGATTCAGCTTTGTTTTTTTCAATATTAAAGATTAAAACAGGGCCTCATGTGAAAAGCACTGTTTCTACCACTGGTTCCCTAGTGTTTGGCGTCAGATTTGGTATTTGATAAATTTTGAGATGAAAGAAATCTTATTACATCCAAGGGCCTTGATTTTTCAGTTCACTAAAGGTACGCCTAAATGGCCACTATAAGAATATGACTTATTTGCTTTTTAAATATATGAGCTGCTGCACAGCGCAGTGGCCGGGGTTCAATCACTGGTGTGGTGTGGTGTGGCGTGGCGTGGCGTGGCGTGGCATGCTGGCCCCACCCCCAGGGTACACTGAGATGGCAATTGAGACTGGGTGTGGTGGCTTGAGCCTGAAATCTCAGAGCTTGGGAGGCTGAAAACAAGAGAATCACTGAGTCTGATCTATGTAGTGAGACCCTGCAGATCCTGTACTAAATATATAAAAACAAGTAAGTAAAAAATATATGTGCTGCTGAAGCAAGCATGTTTGCTTCTTTACTGTAGCTCTGTTAAGTAACCATCACAGGAGGCCATCCTTTTGGACTAAGCTCATATACAGACCAAGCTAAAACTAAAAACGAAATTACTCATGCTTAAACTCCAACTCACCGATGATGTAAAGTGTGCCTAAGGAGAGTCACATGGAGAGAAAACATTCTCTCAGGCTTTCACAGAGAGCACACTGGCCAAGCAATGGCCGTGACTCATCCACATGGCTGACACTGACAAAGGATCTTCAATCTGAGGTACAGGATCTCAGGATAAATCCTGAGGGGATTTGACTGACCTTATCAGATCCAAAAGCTACAATTCTTGTTGCATAAGTCTTGCTTTATCTTGGTCTTAACCATCCAGCAGAACAATATAAAAACAAAGTATAAGAAGTAAAGCCATGGTGTGATGTTGAGCTGTAGGGGACTCTTGTCAACAATTTCTGACACTACCAGTCAAGCGGAAGACCCAATACTATTATGGACTACTGAACTCCTTTAGAATATTTTGCTGAGTTAACACACCTATAATATTCAAATGACAGAACTAAACAAAAAAAGGATACAGATGAATGTCCATTTTGTATCTGTGTATTCAAAGTGGTTAGGATAGATATATAGTTACATTCTCTTAATGAATAGAGGGATTTGTTCTAATAGTGTTTGTAAATAGGATATCATGTCTGCATCTTGTACAGCAAATAATGACTACGAAGATAATATGCAATGTGTTAATTATTGAAACTGTCCTACCAATTTGATTTGAAACTATCTCATTGTTATTTATCTCTCAATAAAATTACGGAGAAAAAAATAAATAAAATGTAAAAAAAAAACCCAAAAACAAAAAACCTCCAACTCACTAAACTGAAACTAATTTACTCTGACCTATGGAGTAATCAGGATTAGGGAAGTTACAGCCAAATTGCCCAAATAGTTCCATTTCATTGGGCATGATAATGAAGTGGCTTGTTAATCTCTGCATATAAATAACCTCTTGTTAACCAGTTTTTGTTGTTGTTGTTGTTTGCAGAACTGGGGATTGAACTCACGCCCTTGTGCTTGCCAGTCAAGCGCTTATTCTACTAAGCCATCTCCCCTGCCCCTACCAGTTTTTTTTTTTTTTTTAATGGTTATGTCTCCTTGTTCTCTTTATAGATGAAAGTTCTTGATTTACTAAGACAAAAAAATTATATGAAGCTGCTATGATCCATAGTAAGAATCTTCTTTAATGAAATTATGAAGGAAAAAAACTTTGCTGTCATATCTGAAACTGCCAAAATATCACCACAGAGTATTATAATGGTTAGTTAAGATGGACAAGGCATGAAATTTGTGGTTAGGCACTATTTCTATTTTTGGGATCCATGAAGATTAAGGGAGCAAGTACTGTACTCTAAACTGGCAGCATGAGGTAGGGAGATAGCTCAGCGGTCTACTCAGCAGTGCCTGACTGGCATGCACAAAGGGTTCAATCCCTGGTACCACATACTGGGCCAGACCTGAAACTGGGTGGGTGTGGTGGCGCACACCTGTAATCCCAGCGCTAGGAAAGCTGAGACTGGAGGATCACTACTGCCAAGACACTGTATCCAATAAAAAAAATAAAATAAAACAAAGTGGCAGCCTTCCCACCACTCTACTAAAAAAGCATTACATAAGTATCAATGGCTTCTAGTCTGCCTTTGCCTCACTCTACATCTCATCAATACAACCAACTCAACCCTGCCTTAAAATTCCCTCCTAGCAGGGCCAGGGAGATAGCTCAGCAGCATGAGTGCCTGCCTGACAAGCACAAGGTTCTGAGTTCTATCCCTGCTACTGCAAAAGAAAAAAAAATTTCCTCTACCTTACAAGCTCTTTTCTTCTTCACTGCCTTTGTTGGGATTTCCTTTGCCCAAAGTCTAAATATGTACTATCTGCATGGTAGCCTACTAGTCATATGCCATTGCAGAGCCCTTGGAATATGGCAATGTGCTATAAAAGTAAACTATGCATTACATTTCTTTTGAAGACTGGCATATGTACACTGGTATCTTGAGCTATATAATTTCCTGTTTCATTTTACTTTGTAATGTGGCCAGCAGAAAATTTAAGACTACATATATGGCTTGACTTCTATTTCTATTGGATAATACTGCAATCTCTAAATGTTAGACATATCCTAGACCTTGGCCTTCCTCCTTCTCTACTTTGTCATCACAGAATACAGTACTGTCAGCCATGAAATAGATCATATTAAGGGCACAGAAACGCAGGCCAGTAATATTTTCAGACATTGAGTGTCCACAGGGCAGGATTTCTAGATGAGAAGTACTGTTGTGGCTAACAACCAAGTGAAGACTAACACTGATTCAACAGTTCAAGTTTCAAACTAGGTGAAAACTATGTCTTATTTATTTATTTTTGCGGAACCAGGGATTGAACTCAGGCCCTTGTGCTTGCCAGGCAAATGCTTATTCCACTGAGCCATCTCCCTGGCCCCTTATGTCTTATTTATTAAGCTGCTTTGAGGAACTCAACTGTCTATTATAGTTTCTAGTTCTAACAGAAAGGGGTTCAAGAAACCTCTAACTGGTTGGTCTCTGTCTCTCTTGGTAGGTATTGTACTGGGGATTAAACCTAGGATCACTAAGAGGCATGCTCAGCCTCTCCAACCCCCACGTTATGTTTGGAGACAAGTTCTCACTAAGTTCCCCGGGCAACTTCAGACTTGCAATCATTCTCTAAGGACCAGTTTGTAATGATGATTTGTGCAAATTCCTATATTCTTGTAGATGCTAAAATTCCAGTCACTCTCTGATGGCTTGAAAACACAGCACTGTGTCTCTGATAGGGATTAATCTAACAAATATACTACCACTGAGCAAAAATCACTGGACACAGCTATGTGTGACAGCATATATGTGACCTAAGCTTTTTTTTTTTTTTTTTTTTTTTTTTTTTTTTTGCGGGGGGGGCAGAACCGGGGATTGAACTCTGGCCACTGTGCTTCCCAGGGAAGTGCTTATTCTACTGAGCCATCTCCCTGGCCCCAAGACCTAAGCTATTTGGAAGGCTAGGAGGAGGGAGGAGGATTTCTAGTTTGAGTCCAGCTTGGACAACTCACAAACCCTGTCTCAAAATAAAAAAGATTGGAGATATAGCCCATCGCTCAGACAGGCAGAGAAAAGTTGGAAGGAATGTCAGTCACATCAATTCAAGAGACAGTGAAGTTTGACAGCTTAAAGAAACAGCCCCAGAATCTGTCCCACCAGTCGAATAAAAAAACTGAAGCTAAAAAAGTTGAAAGACTTGACTTCATTCAGATGTTAGAACAAAATAGATGATTTGAGGAAACGTATATAAGTTAAATCAAGATTTAGTATATACTTTTAAAACTCAGAAAATATAAAAAGTACTAACCATTCTATAAGCACTCCTTTCAAAACGTTGACCATCTTTTCCCAGTCAGGAGGTGCAGATGTCTTCAAGAATACTAATAAGAGGATAAAAGCGACACAAAATTCCAAAGCATCAACTTTAATATACTTTTGGGATTGACCTCTGAAATGAGTCAAAATGGTGAATAAAAATCTATGGAGAACAAGAAAGCAGCACTTTTCATATTTCATCAAAACTAAAATGGTTTACTTGGAATATTAACCATGTATAAATACTACTTGCAAGTAAACCCAATGAACAGCAATGAATGAATTCCAATGAAATCATAACCTCAAGGCAAGTGCAAAAGCGTCCCGTTTTTCTAAAAGATTTCATTCTCAGCCAGAATGATAAAAGGCAAAAACCTGGAACGCAGAAATTACAGCGCTCCACTCATCTCATTTTACAGATTAGGAGACACAGTGAAGATATTTAGCTACAGTTTTTTTTTGTTGTTGTTGTTTGTTTGTTTTGCGGAACCGGGGATTCAACTCAGGCCCTTAAACTTGCCAGGAAAGCAGTTATTCTACTGAGCCATCTCCCCAGCCCCTTAGCTACAGTTCTTAAATACACTGCATTCCTTAAGAATACGCGCTGGAAGGACACGGTCCGATGTATCCCAAATTAACCCTTTTCTACCTTCACACCTGGGAGTGGAACAAGAAGCTCCCACAGGAACTTCTTACAGCCTCCCAGTCCCGCCCCGAGAGTTCGCGGGACACAGCCCTGTAACCCACGGCGGGAAAATGGTCTCCGGGCCTTCCCCTCTCTTGCTCCGCTTTATCCCGTACTCAGACGTCCCCCACGCACCCTACTTTCTCCCGTCTCTCAAGGCTCAGCACGCACCTCCACCCACGCACGCTGAGCGCCTTCGCGTCGCCGACACTGCGCCTGCGCCTCACGTCGTCACGTCGAGGACGCGCCTGCGGGCGGAGCACGTCGGCGAGGGGCGGGGAGAGGGCGGGGCTTAGCTGGGTCGGGGCGGGGTCACGTGCAGCCAGCGGCCGGCAGGAGGGGGTGCAGGCTGCCCGCCGCAGAGAGGTGTAGGCGTTCCTCCTGGTGGGGTCCCCTGGGAGCGGTTGGGGGCCGGCCGAATCGGCGCCCTGGCAGGTAGGCAGGAGGAGAGGGCTCCAGGGGAGTCTGTGGTGAGAGATTCGGTGCTCCTGAGAGCGGCGGGCGAGTGGCGTGGGCGGGCGAAGCGCTCCTGTGGGGGTGCGCGGTCCCCAGTGACCCGCTGACCGGCCGCGGGCGTGGGGACCTCTCCCCGGCCTCCGGAACCCGGCTTTTCTTTCCGGTTCGCTGCGCTTCTCCGGTAGCTACCCAGGCCCAGAGTAGAGCGCCTGCCGGGGGCGGAGGGCGCACCAACCCGGCAGGGTAGTCACGAAGAGATGAGGGGGCAGCGTCATCCGTCGCACCTGCGCCTTCTAGACCACAGCGTCTCGCCCTTTTTTGGCCCTGGAATTTGAGTAGATTGAGCGCTGAGGGTCCCCAAACCCAGAGGTCATTTTACAATGAGACTCCAGAAAATTCTAACGTTAATTCTTTTCCCCAAATTTTGCTCTGTAGTCTGATTGAGGACTTTTTTAAAAACCAGTTGAGGTCTTGCTTTCTGTTCCTTACCTTGAATTGTGCTTCCACAATTTTTGTTCGTGTGACCCCTGCCTCTTCTTTTTTGTGCTCTTTCTGCCACTCTGAGAATTGAACCCTGGGCCAGATTGGCCTCAATTTGTACTCCTGCTGCTTCAGCCTCCCAAACTGCTGGGATTACAGGTAATGGGCTGTCACACCTGGCTCTGTGAGCTCTTAGGAACCTACCTTGTCTCTTTTTTTTTTTTTTTCCTTGAATCTTTTCTTCCATTTGTCTTCCATATCCTTTCCCTCTCTTAAAAGTGTGCTTCAAGTTGATTTATTCCCAAGTATCTTTGCTTTTCTTTTCTCCCTTCCTATCTACAGTCTCTTCCTTGAGAATCTGTGTCATCTCAGGAGTTTCTTCACTCCTGAGAGCCAGGTACTGGGCTGATGCCTGCATATTAATGATCAGTGAGTAATCTTGGCTCCACCTCTCAAACTAATTTCATTTTCACCTCTCATCCTCACTTCAAAACCTGCTTTCCTTCTCGTGTTTCTCGAGATCATCCAGATATAAAACCTCCACCACCCATTTATTCAGTAAACATTTTGTGCCCTCGATGTGTACTAGACACTATTGTAGACACCTGGGATGCAGTGAGGAACTAACTGGTGGGGGGCCAAGAGACACTAAAACCAGTTAACAAGAAGGTGCAAGATGGTGATGTAACAGTGAAGAGGATTACTTGGTTAGAAAGTATCAGATGTGGCTGATTGGTGGCAAACGCTTGTAATGCTGGCCCTCTAGAGGGTGAAGCAGCAGGATTGCTGTGAGTTCCAGGCCAGCATGGGCTATAAAGTGAGTTGAAGGCCAGCCTGAACTGCATAGTAAAACCCTGTCTTTAAAAGATTTTTTAAAAAAGGAAAAAAAAAAAGAAAAAAGAAAAAAATGGCTTTCCATTTAGGAAGATTTTAAAGTATAAAACCTCCATGTACTAGCAGCAATTAACCAAAAAGTTTAATAAAAGATACTATTCATAATTACATTCAAAACTAAAAGTATCTAGAAATGGATCAGACTATAGCTGTGTAGTTCTATGGGGGAAGGTTGTGATGCTGTATTGAAGCATAAAAGACTCAGCAAATGAAGAGATATAAAGTATTTGTGGATGGAAAGACTCACTGTCAAAAAGATGACAGGGTTCCCCAATGCTATAAATTTAGTGTAATACCAATTAACATTGCTGTATGGTTTTTCCTGCAACTTGACATATTAAACCAAAAATTTATATGGAAGCTAGAGCACAGCTGAGTGCAGTGGTGCATGTTTATAATCCCAGCTACTCAAGATGCTAAGGCAGGATGCTTGTAAATGTTGAAGATGGTCTGGGCACCATAAAAGGACTCTGGTGAATTTTTATTTTATTTTATTTTTATTTTTATTTTTTGAGATAGGTTATCCCTGTGTAGTCCAGGCTGGTCTTGAATTCACAGTGCAAATCTGCCTCAGTAGTCCTGCCTCAGCCTCTTGAGTGCTTGGATTATAGGTGTGTGCCACCATGCTAGTGCCTGTTTTTTGTTGTTCTTGTTGTTTTTGTTTTTTTGGAAAGCAAAAGAACCAAGAATAGTTAAGTTAGATTTTTTTTTTTTTTTTTTTTTTTTTGTGACAGGGTTTTTCTGTGTAGTACAAGCTGGCCTTGAACTCACTGTACAGCTCAGATTAGCGTCAAACTCTGCAGCAGTCTTCCTGTCTCAGGTTCCCAATTGCTGGGATTATAGAGGTGCACTGCCATATCTGGCAGGTAAGTCAGTGATGAGGAAGAAAATTAAATATCCCTCCCAAGTATAAAGTTTAATATGAAAGTGTAGTAGACACTGTGGGGAGGCATGACACTTGCCTGTAAGCACAGCATTTGTGAGGCTGAGGCAGGAGGATTACAAATTTGAGGCCAGCATGGACTACATAGGGAAGCCTTGTCTCAAAAAAATTATGCTATTGATTCAGGAATAGAAAAATATATTCATGGAACAGAATAGTGTTTAGAAACATAGACATGTGCATATGGAATCTTCGAGCACCGCTAAGTATCCAAAGCAAGGGGAAAAAATAAGACTGTTCAGTAAATGATGCTGAGATGCATCAATTTGGGTTAAAGCAAAATTAGATTCCTGTTTCATATCATTTACAATTTCCAGATGAATCACAGACCTTAAGGTGAAAGACACATCTGTAAGATTTTTGGAAAAAAAAACAAGTAACTTTATTATTTCTAGTAAAGATTTGTCTTTTGCTTACTTGGTTGTAGTAAAATACTCATAAGATTTATCATTTCATCTCTTTACACATATCATTCAGTGACATGCAACCATCACTACTATCTGTAGAACTTTTTCATCTACCTGGGAAGGATTTCTGGTTTTGATATAGGGTCTTGTTACACAGTTCAGACTCATAGTGATCCTCCTGTTCAGCCTCTCTAGCACTGGGATTACCGGTTTGCACCACCACTCCAGGTTTTGTAGCCTAACATGGCACACTTGGGGTTCCAGAGCAAGGCATGTGGTACTGGGGATCAAACTCAGGACCTTGTGCTTGCCAGGCAGGTGCTTAGACCACCAAGCTATCTCCCCAGCTCTAGGAAGGATTTCTTAATTTACAGAAAATACCATTGAGGATGCTGTTGCACTACTCCAGGTGAGAGAAGGTGATGACCTATCTAGAGTGGTTACAGCTAAGATGGAGAAAATAAGGGCAATGCCGAAGTGTTTTGCTTGAGTTTCAAGGTAGCTCATTTGCTATTTATAATTACCATTTGGTTGATGGTGTGGAGAAGATAATTGGAAGAAGGGTTTGAGGGGAAAAAAAAAAGAGTTCTGTTTTAGACATTTGAGTTTAAAAGGCCTATTGGCTATCCAGGTAGAATTGATCTGTTGGAAAGGTAGAGGTTGAGTAGATGAGTAGAATTGTTGCTAGAGGTACTTGAGACCACTGAGATACAGATATTTACTACCCAGGTGATTAGGATTAGATTTTGCTGTATTATATAGGAAACATAAAATAGCGATGGTTAAACATGCATATATTTTCATTACTGAGGTAAGCAGTAACATGGTATAGCAGCAGCTCCAGTATCAGGGGCTTTGATTCTTCTCTCTTGCTGCTCTGCCATCCTTAGTATAATGATGATACATGATTAATATGGCAGCTTGAATTCTATCACTTGTTCATTCATAAGGGGGAACAGAGAAGATGAAAAAGGTACATATGCTTTAAAGGTACTTTTGAGAGTTGTGCGTGGTATTCACTTACATTCTACTAATCAGATATTAGTCAATGACCACACTTAACTAGAAGGAAAAAGGGTAATACAGTCTTTATCCAGTTTATCCTGTATGCCTAGGTATAATTTAGGTTTTATTAATAAGAGTGGAAGAGTGATCTGATTTTTGGGTGTGGTGGACACTTTTAATCCTATCTGCTCAGGAGGGTGAGGCTGGAGGATTGTCATTTCCATGATAGCTGGGAAATTCAACAAGACCCTCTTTCAAAATAAAAAAAGGGCTGGTGAGATGGCTCAGTGGTCTAAAGCACCTACTTAGAACAAGCTAGCAAAGCACAGGGACCGTGGTTCAATCCCCCAGCACCACATGCCAGCCAGCCCCACCCCCTGGTGGGCTGAGCTGGCCACACACACACACACAC